GGCGCAGCCGCGGGTCCCCCCGGGGTGGGCAGGGGGTGCTTGGAGGCCCTTCGGTAGCAGCTTTCTCCCCAGGGACTCGGCGTGGTAGAGGGCTTGTTTTGCTTTCCAGCACTGCTGCACTTCGGTGCGGTGTTCTCCTTCTGCATGCTCTATCTTGGCTTTATATATATAGTTTAAAGAAAAAAAACCCAACAACTAAACGGACTAGCTGGCTACAGAATTGGATTGCTGTCTAGTAACAAGAGGGGAATGTAGGGGGGGAAATGTCTCCAGCCGAGATAAAAAAAAAAAAAAAGAAAAAGTTGGAAGCGCTCTGAATTATAGTTACGCTTATTGTGGATACTCCCATTGTGAAAAGTTTCAGCGTGTTCTCTACTACTGTTACATTAAGGTTTCCTTTTGATGAATGTATCAGGAAAATGGTTTTGTTTGGGCTGCTTGGTTTCTTCCATATTAGCCAGACAGATATTACTCTGAAGAGGTGATTTAGAGCCCTGCTGTGCATACGTTTTCAAATTACTTTTTAAATCGGAATGCAAATAGCATAGCTGAAGGGGATTGTTTGGAGTGCAAAAAAACCCATGTGAGGGTGCATATAACTGAATTTTTTTCCATTTTTTGAATTAACATAGATTTTATTTTTAGCCTCCATTCTGACATTAATCTGTAAGACCATTATAAATCATAAAGGACGTGTATATAAGTATCCCATCTAAGAAAAATTCTCCAAGGAACTCGAATAGCTGGCCGCAAGCTGAAGACTTGTTGATTTCCGTGAGCTCAGCCAGATGACTGCTGATTCTGTTATTGATTGTTGTTTGAGGGTACTTTTTTTTTTTTTTTTAAACAAAGGCCAAAGTTCATCCCAAATATTTGAATGCTGCATAATTGTATGCTTCGGCGTGAGAAGATATCTGTGTGTGTGTGTATTCATGCTTCTCTCGCGCAAACAAATGTATGCTTTCTTGGTTGTCAGAATGATTTAATGTGCAGTAGCTAATACAAAGCAGCATCTGTTGCATGCAAAACCGAAGCAAGTAGCTTAGAAATGTGGATATTTGGAACTCCTAAAATTTTCTTCCAACAACTATAGTGGGTTTTTTTAAAGGAAAAAGAAAATCTCCTTATCTTTTGGTGGTGAATGACTGTGGCTGAGGTTTTGGCCAGTAACATAAATAGACCTCGCAGCCTTTGTTAGAGTTACTCTGGCTTCACCTAGTTGAAGCAGAAATCAAAACCTGTAGAGCTACTACCCAACACAAATGCCTTAAAACCTGTTTTTTAAATTCTTGGTAAGCAGTGTGCTTTCCACACAGGTAATATTGTATTTAAGCCACTTTACTCAAATATTTACCATTTCAAAAGAAAACAATGACTTGAGCAGCCCTGCTGATGTGACCTGGATATTGTGTCTGTGCGATGCTGACCTGTTAGGGAGCAGAGCGTGAAGCCTCTTGATACTTCTTTTACTGGTAACAAGGTGGTTCAGGTAAGGGAGGAAGGTTTTGGTGTTTTATGATTCAAGGGAAGCAAAGAGATGGATGAAGTATGATGCTCTAATTCAGAAAAATAATTTAAAAGCTTGAAAATAAGTAAGCACACAAGCAGATATCACAAGTTATAAATGTTATCACCTCCAGAGATGATCCTGGCTGTTCCTGCTGTTCAGAATGAATGTTTCTTGTAGACCTTGCTCAGTTAAAGGAAATCTGTACAGAAATGAAAACATTTCATGTTCACTTGTGACACTGAGCCTGGGTGCTGCAGATCTTAAACCTTGGTATGGGGGAAGTGTCAGCATGTTTTGATGGTAGCTCCTTATGCCTTGATACCAGTTTTTAAACAAAATGCTTCATATGTACTTTTATAGTTGTTTAGTATGTGTATTACTGAGATCCGAGTGAGCGTGGTTAGGTTAGTCTGTGCTGGACCCTCTGCAGCAGCACGCCGAGAAGTCCATATCTGAGTATCAGAGGTTGGGGAATGGTGTGGAAATGTAAAACAGCTCACCTGGAAGTCAGTGGCAGAGCTGGAACTATAACCAGGCCTTGTGACTCTTAAGAGCTGTGTGTTCTCCTCTGGACTGTGCTGTTTGTCCTGATGTATCTGTGAATCTGATTATTGTGTCATTTGAAATCAGCATTTGCAGGACTGTTTTGGTATGGTTTTAGTTTGTTGGGGTTTGGTGGTTTTCTTAAAAAAAATTTCTACATATATCAATTTACTATTTAGTCAAATAAGTATGGTGGGGGAACAAGGGGTGAAAAACCATCATGAAGGATTAGATCACGTTGTGCATTGTCTGTAATGCATCAGTAGACTGAATTACAGTGGAGCTATGCCAGGGATGACTCTGGCCCAGCAGGAGTAGGGTAAGTCCAAAATTAGCTATTGTATCCATGAGGCGAAGCAAGTTTCAGATGCAAAAGTGCTTGAGCTTTGCTGAAACATTGCTCATGGGAATAAGGGCTACACAGCAAATTCCTGTAGTGACCAGGTGGGATTGTTTTAAGAAAGAACAAGAAAAAAATTCATTTTTGTTGTAGGGCTAAGGAATTAGAATACCGAATTTATTCTTGCTGTCATTTTTATCTGATTGGAACTGGAAATACACGTACTACATTCTGTTGCCTGGTGGATTATTAAACAATTAATAGTTTATTTGCTTGTGTATTTGTTCAGCATATATTACTCTTCCAGGTGCTCAATTTGTAAGATATGATGAGACAGACACCTCAGGCCCCAGGTTTTCTGTTGGAAGGACCTGTGGCAGACAGCAAAAGGCTGGAGAGACCTTCAAGGATGGGAAGACCTTCAAGGATTTCAGTGTAGCGCTCTGTTGGCAAGATTTTCCTTCCTTTTTTTCTGGTGGAGCAGGAAGTAATTTCCACCTGAAAAACCGACCAGGCTCAGACCATCTGATTGTTTCTTGTGCTGCAGTTACAGAACGGCTCGTTTAAAGGACCTTCCTCCCTCCCTCTTCTGCTGCACTGCTGCCAAGGCCCGTCCTTCTCCAGAAGGCAGCTGCCTTTAAACCCCTGTGCACCAGGCTGGTGGGCTTTGGTGTCAGGAGCTGACTTAGTGAGTTGTAGCAAGCTGGGTCTGCCTGGCCCCAAGACATTTTATCATTTGGGTGATAAAGTTGGAAACATGCATTCTTTTTCCCATTAAAATATATCCTCTGTAGTAGGTGCATTGGTATTGAAAGCCCAGCTTTCAGGATGGGCTTTTTTATCACTTTTCAGACAAGCTTGAGGGTAGTGTGCCGTTAGCACATACCCCAGCACACCCCGGTGTTGGAGTTCATGGCCTCTCTGCTTTGCTCTGTGAACAAGCTTAGGTCTCCATCTGCTATCAGATTTTTTGAATTTTCGATGGCTCTGCTTTTGGGACCAAAAAGTATGGTAAGCATGAAATCTGGTGACAGCAGAGTCTACAGCTGACGTTACTACATACCTGCAGAACCCCATGGACTTCGTCCTTGGGAGAAGAGCAGTGGATTTCTAATACTATTCCTGATCTGAAGAGAGGCCATACTGTGCACCTGACAAACCGTCAGCATTTTGCCCTAGAAATAAAGTGCATTAGGCTGAACTGTAGCGAGTGTTTAACTCTCAACCTATGTAGGGGTGTGAACTGCAGAAGCCAGGAACGTGTGACGAGCACTTGGTAATTTCTAAAAGCTGTGCAGTATATATAGTCTTGCTGATATGGGGCGAGATAATAAATGCTTTGTTTCAGGAGCTCTAGTGGTATCACACATATTAAGACATAAATCTCATGACATTTCGTAATATATTTTCATATGCATATTTTTCTTTTGAACCTGTTACTGCTTTTATTTTTTTTTTGTATCACCAGTGGTTTTAGGGGAGCCAGGATTCTTGTATGTAAGGAACACCTTCTTTTAAGTGGTGTTTTTTTTAATTTAGAAAATAGTTTTGAAGAGAGGTGGGTGTTATTTCTTGTGGAACTCATCTGATAAGGATAGAATGTACCAACTGAAATGGGAACATGGCACATTTGCTTTTTAAAAGCAGCTGAACAAGGTGTTCCTTAAATGATTTGCATTTTGGTGAGGGAAACCAGGGATAATACATAAGTGATTTTAGGAACATCTTGGGTGTGAGCATACCTTCTGTTGTGTTGGTAGTTTACCACACAATATTTACAAGAATTTACCATGTTCTTAGGATTGCCTTGATACCAGGAAAATATGAAAACTGTAAATATAGTAAGTGGCAGAGGCTGTCTGCAAGACCATGAAGTATGTTCTTCTTTTGAGGCTCGTGCCTGTCTGGTTTCAGTAATGAGCAAAGGGCCAGTCCTAGTTTTGAGTGTCCACATGCAAATTTGTATGTTGGTTGTTTTTTTTTAATGCCAATTTTAAACTACCTTGTTTTGAATTTGGCCTGTTCCTGCATTTGAGGAGCTTTAATATTGCGTGGACTTGTTTAAGAGCATCTACACTTTAGATTGGCGTAAGGGTGCCCTGGAGATGATTACAGTACAGTCCCTCTGTGCAAACGCCGTCGAGCTGCTGTTACACTTGTTAGCTGCCTGTTGCCGGTAATTTTACTGCCCCAAAACTGTTCACTAACCTATGTACTGACCTAGCTTTATGGGCAGGTTTTTACAGCCTTATCCTAACCTTTGTGCTGCCACAACGGTGCTGCTGGCGGTACCCACATGAGCTGGTGTTAGCTGCAGAGTAGACACCACTTTACAAATCTGTTTGTAACGAGCTTTTGTGGCGTTAGTGTGAGTTTGCAGATCAGGTCTAAAGGTGAAAACAGGGTAAGTCTACGTAGGCCTTTAGTCAGGTGTACTTCCAGCCTGCAGTCCCGCTTGTACCTTTCTCATCTTCCTCCTTGTCA